TTGATGTAATATTGTATCTGTTTTTTGCTATTAAATCATCATTTTATACATCAGCTTGAATTACATTTATCGATATTACATTTCTTTTTTGCTCTGAGAGGTTTCACGACGTATACGTGACGGAAAATGAAAATATATATTTAAAGAATTTCTCACGTGAAAGCACTTGAAGATTACATCACAGACAAACAGACATAACACATTGAATATTTCTCACTGTAAAACATCATCGCTAAAACATTACCGCCATCTGTTGAGTACACTGTGGTGGGTAGTACCACAAACGAAGTGACAGACGACTAACTGGCGAAGAAATCAATTAAAATAATGTGGTTCGCTGTAATAGAATTTTCTTAGAAGCTTGTGCCATCAGCCACCAGATGGGCTAGTATTTTTGTTTTGATTTGAACATAGTTGATTTTGTGTGCAATATGATCTTTGACAGTGTGCAAAGAGTGTATCATTTTGTCATTTTTTTATGCATTTCAGTTTAGAGTAGAGTGAAAAAGATAGAACCAAAACATTCTAGTACATTTAGTGTTGCCATGTGGTACAATCCATTAGTAGTGTTGCCATGTGGTACAATCCAGTAGTAGTGGTGTTGCCATGTGGTACACTGAAAAATTGCAATAGCAGGTGCGTCACCAAAATTTTCGAGCCGCTCCGTCTGTCACTTCGTTTGTGGTAGTACCTAGTACGCTGAACAGATGGCGGTAGTGTGTAAACGTCAAACGCAAGGGAATTGACTATATAAGGGAATTCTCGAGGGTATTGACAGGTGGTGGTACCAACAATCATTACGAAACTAACGATTTTAAATTGGCTCACTACTTGACTCGAGGGGGACGACTCTATCTACGATGCAGAAAAGATTGTGTTTTCCTGTTGGTAGCTGCGCGCACGCTGAGTAGATAGAAAGAAGATTGATGACGATTCTGAAGATTTCCTGCAAAAAGATGATGCGCGATGCAAGTAGATGCGACAAATGAAAGAAGATTTTTCGAAGAGTGATTCGCTAGTGTGAGATTTGTTGAGCATCTAAACTTGAGATTAAGATGTGTCGCCCCCCTCGACTTGACTAGCCTATTGGTCCCAAGCAAACGATTAACGTATCCTATTCTAGTTGAAATTCTAGTACTACGCAATGTTTTTTTTGATTCGCTATGAAAGTTTGACAGATAAAATTAGGGGTTATTGGTTTTTCCTATGTTTCGAGGGGTGAATCGATTAGCTTGGGACCGAAGATAGTACCAGAGCTGAGCCAAAAGGTTTAGCACGTTTCTTCGGGACCTTCTAGTCTTAGAGTTACCTCAATGGTGGTGCAACCAACTACGATACTTTTAAATTGACCGTTAAATGCTTGTTCGATTAACATCTTGCGAGTGTTAAATATGTCTGTTTGTCTGTGATTTCAGTGGTGATAAAGTTTTCCTCCACCATAGAATAATTGAAAAAAAAAAAAAATATTATAGAATTAGAAGGATTTTATAAAATTTTGAAATCTGCATCAAATAGCATTTTTTTTTAGATGGTGGGTTTTAGAGGTTTATTAAAGCTGCGGTTGACAAATAATCTGACGGCCATATTGCTCACATCTAATCCTTTCTTAACTGATTTTGATGAAACAACTTCAAATGGATCATCTGATCGATTGGAGGCTGTTTCATCAAAAAATTTATACGTTAATGAGTAGCTGTTACCCATCAATGGAAATTTCTTGACATTTGTTTAAGCTTCATCATACACACACAGAGAAAATAATTTTGAACGCAATAATATCAACAATCAATACGAAACTAACGATTTCAAATTGGCTCTCACTACTTGACTAACCTATTGGTCCCAAGCAAATCGATTAACGTACCCCATTCTAGTGGAAATTCTAGTACTTCACAATGTTTGTTTTGATTTGCTATGAAAGTTTGACAGATAAAATGAGGGGTTATTGGATTTTCCTATGTATCGAGGGGTGAATCGATTAGCTTGGGACCGAAGACGAAGATAGTACCAGAGCTGATCCAAAAAGTTGAGCACACACTTAAACAGAGACCCTGAGTTCGGTAAAAAAAAATTACCGTCTTAGATCGGTAATCCTAAAAATTACAGATGTTTCGGTATTTTCTCGCTATATTGCTGAAAACTGTAAATAAAATTACCGAATTTCGGTGATTTCATTTCAATTCAACGAAAACGGTAAAAAAAATACCGGCAGATCTGTAAATCAGCTTAATCACTGACTTCGGTGAAATATTTTTACTGAAGTTTCGGTAAACAAAGCGTTCCATTACCGAGTTCGGTAGCTTTCACAGCGAGAAACGTCAAATCCGTCGTAATGTGTTTTCGACCTTTAAAAAAAAAGTGTGTAACTGGAAACTGTTATGAAAAACAAAAAGTGAAATGATGGAGGCTTTTATGGACCAGCTGCAACGCATAAAGATGAGCAAATCGTAGATATTTTCCGTAAGTAATGGTATTTCGTTATCTAAATAAACACCCATTGTTACAGATGGCCGATGTTGTTGCTTGTTTTTTCTGTCGGTCGCAAGTACCAGGCTATGTTACTGGACTGCACCGACATATCAATGATCATATAAGAAGAGAAATTTTATACCGGCAGCAATTTTCAACTTTAATACATTGACCACAACTAGAGCCAAATATTTGCATGGATTGCAGTGACCGCCAGCGCTCCGAGTAAGTTTTGGGTTTTTAGATTTACGAAAAGCATATCCGTAAGAATAAAATAAAATAAAGGATAAGGAAAAAATATTTAATTCAATTGATAAAACCAAGAAAATACCTTGAAACAATATTTAAGCGAATTACAGTTGAGTCGGCAACCTTTTAAAAAACTACAGATCTTTCGGTAAATTTCATTTTCCATATCGACTCAAAAATTACAGTTCTCCGGTAAAGTCGATTACAAATCATGCTTATTTTTTCGGTAAACGTTACCGATCGTTCGGTAAATTTGACAGCTAATTTTGCTGATCCAGTTTACAGATTTTTCGGTAATGTTCTCGATTACCGAAAACATTACCGACCGTTCAGCTGTTGAGAATTCGGTAAATGAATTACCGAAGTCGGTAATTTTTTCTAAGTGTGTAGTATTTGAAGATATGTACCTAAATATGTTCCATGATATTTAGAAATATTTGATGATCTTAGCTGTCTAACGCCTTGGACTGCACTAATAAAAATACCATAAACGAATGGTAACCCAAATGGTTCAAATATTCTACAAATGGTTTGGATTATAACCGGATCACGTCGTTAAACTAAATAACCATAACAATTTTATTATGGTGAGCAGTACGCAACATTCAGTTAAGCGCCACTCACATTAGATCCGTTTGCGTTGCGTTGACGTAAATTTGGCAGTTAGACAATAGATTTAGCTGTCCCTTTGCCGCATCGCGTCCGATCCGGATCTAATGTGCGTGGGCCTTTAGCGTTTGCTCTCAACTGATAGCGATGCATCAATTATTTCAGCGCAGTCAATATTGTCGCGCTTATGTTAAATTCTCATTTGGCTACGGTCGAAGCGCGCCACTCATAAGCGCGATGCAACCGTAGAGGTAACTCTAAGACTAGAAGCTCCCGAAATAACGTGCTCAACTTTTTGGCTCAGCTCTGGTATCACAAAAAAACAAAAATTGTTGCTATAAGAATAATGCATGATCAAATTAAAAGTTTCCCAAATTTCGTAGTTTCAACTATGAAATTTTTCAAATATGAAATAATTTTTTTGATTTAAAAGTGTTTCTTTCACTTTTGGCTTGTAATTTTAAAAGTCTATTTTTTAGAATAAAAGTTGTAAAATTGTCAAAAAATCTTTTCCTTGCAAAGTTTTTGACAGTACCATAGAGGTAACTCTAAGACTAGAAGGTCCCGAAATAACGTGCTCAACTTATTGGCTCAGCTCTGGTACTATCTTCGGCCCCAAGCTAATCGATGCACCCCTCGAAACATAGGAAAATCCACTCACCCCTCATTTTATCTGTCAAACTTTCATAGCGAATCAAAACAAACATTGTGCAGTAGTAGAATTTCGATTCGAATGAGGTACGTTAATCGTTTGCTTGGGACCAATAGGCTAGTCAAGTAGTGAGCCAATTTAAAATCGTTAGTTTCGTATTGATTGTTGGTGGTAGTGTGTAAACGTCAAACGCAAGGGAATTGACTATGCGCGCCACAGGTAGCGGTATACCAACAATCAAAACGAAACTAACGATTTTAAATTGGCTCACTACTTGAATTACGTTGATCGATATTACATTTTTTGCTGTGTAGTACCATGTACCTAAAAGGGATTGAGAAATTATCCTGCCACACACAATATTGAAAAAAAAAATTACTTCTCATCACCCACAGGTTCTACTCCGGGACGGGACTTGACAATCGAGCTTCTCACTCTTCTTAATGTTTTTGAAGAATGCCCTTCGGAAAGTTGTGCTTGGTGTTTGACGAAGTTGAACAATGATGCCAGGATTGCAGACTGATTTTTTTATTTTATTCGGAGTTTCTACCGCAGTTTAGATCCTTGTACATCATTTTTGCTTAACAAAATAAAAACAACCATAAACAAACAAGAATATCCTTCGGTTAAAGCACGCCGTGAACCCTATTTTCCAACTTTACTTTCGCAAATATAAACAATTTAATAACGCCATTAACGTCATCATTGATTCCAGCATCACTGCCAGCCAGATTGATGCGATCCCTCTGTTCTTTTTATTCTACGATCGCTACTGTCAAATCGACCAATCAGAAACTGGCTCGGATTGGACAGAAAATTGGCTCGAAATCGCTACCCGATTGTCAAGTCCCGTCCCAGGTTCTACTCACCTTGCAACAAGTACAGCTCTTGGCAAAATGTGTGAACGTGTGCAGCTTTCACCTTCACAGTGAGTTTCAGATGAAATGTGAAGAACGATTAAAAGAGAAACGTCAAAGTCCGTGCCCGATTGATGGCTGTTGTTTTGGTTTTGTTTGTGGGGCCGAACCAAAACTAATCGTAGTATCGGAGTCAAGAAAGTTAATTTATTTGAATTGCTATAGTAAATATTCATTATTCTACGCTAAAACATGTCTTATCAGTTGTATCGTAATACCACACTTGGAAATACACTACAGGAAACATTGGACGAGCTGATTCAGGTAAGTTAATTCATTCTTATTTCATGCATGACTTCCGTATGGAATTTTACAAAATGAAGGCACTCGACTAAATTATTGATATGCATCATGTTCTAAAAAAATATTTTATAGTATGGTCAAATTACCCCGGCATTGGCAGTCCGAGTGTTGGTTCAGTTCGACAAATCCATCAATGCAGCCCTATCGAACCGAGTCAAATCCAGGGTAACGTTCAAGGCAGCGAAGCTGAACACCTACCGCTTCTGCGATAACGTGTGGACGCTGATGCTGAATGATGTCGAATTTCGGGAGGTGCATGAATTCGCAAAAGTGGACAAAGTCAAAATTGTGGCGTGTGATGGAAAGAGTAAGTTTAGATTAATTTACTTGGAAGCTTGTAAAATACTTAACATCATCCTAATTTCAATGTTCTTTGCAGATGCTAACGTAAATGACGATATTGGCCGGACAGATCGATAGAAAGCCCAGTCACTGGTTCAAAAGTCCCAACCTGCAGTGCTTCTGCTTTTTATTTCTGTTTTATATGACACCCATCTCACCCATGGGTTTTCCTGTAGTTTATAACCAACCATATGGACAAAGAAGCTGTAATTCCCAATAAATTAAATCAACAATGTTGAAAAATAAGCCTATGTCGTACTATGTCCGTATTTGCAGAAATGAAAAACTAATACCATAATTTTTCGCACCTAATTCCCTGATTTCGCTAAGTTTTGGAAAATCTCAAAATAATCAACCATATGCTTGTTTTCGTTCGAGCCATATTTTTGTTTTCGTGTGGATCGAACGGTTCAAACTAGAACAAGAATATGGGTGAATGTGTTTTGGCCATAGCGGAGAATCATAGTAAATGTAAATATATCATGAATATATTAGGAACTTTGTGATTCAAGATGAGTAGAGAAGCATGTACTGAGTATATAATATCAGATCACGTTTTGGTAATTTTGAGGTTTAGTATTGATTTCAAATTATAGTTTCTCCTACTGGGTAATATTCTTACCCATCTGGCTAACAAACTGCTGAAACAGCAAATAACTCGATTTTAGGCAATATTTTATGCATTTCCAGTAAGGCCAAATACTGGTGCATCTAATCGTCGTGTGAACTTATTGGCCCTAGTGCAAAAATCGACAGTGCTTACACATCTCAAGGTAAAGTAAATTATGATTATGAAAACATCTTATAGGTTGCCTTCATTGTCGAGGCACTGATAAACGGTGAGAACCTGCTGGTCAACGTTATTGAGAAAGAAGGATGATGTTCGTCTTATTGTAGGTATTTGTTTCGAATATGTTGTTTCCGACAAGACCACCCGCGACACCATTTCATCGATAACCTGAAATCAAAGTCAGTTTCCTGGAAGGTTACTGCGCACAGCACAAAACTAATATTTGCTAGTACCGGCCTGCGAAGCGTTGCATTTGACAGACAATATCCACCTCAGATCCGGCATTCCAACCTTGGTTCATCTCCACCAGTTGTTGTGCCCTTTCGATGAGATTCAGGGCATCAGTAGCATACAACTCAATCATCAGCTTGTGCAATAAATTAATCAACCACAAATTTGCATTGCATTCTCTAAGTGATGAACTAGCATTCGACTGAAAATTTACTTAAGTACAGAAGACTCGATGTCTGCTCACTCTAACAGGGCCAGGAGCTGGGCCTTCCTTTCCCATTTTCGAATTGTACTACCAAAACAGATTTGAAAGGCCATTTAACTAAGAAATGGATCAAACTTTTCGACATTACCATGGAGGCACCATATTTGACGCACTTTTGAATTAAATCCATGATTTATCGAATTTCACGCAGAATTATACTGCCGACATTTGCATAACCGTCCCATCTTTGCTTGATTGAACCACCCTACAAATTTGGTTTTTATTTGAAATATATATATAAAATTTGAGAGCAAATTAAATGTGCTACAATAATTTCGTTTTTTTTTTTTTTTTTTTTTTTTTTTTTTTTTTTTTTTTTTTTTTTTTTTAACTCTTTATTTGTTCCAAATTCAAAATAAATTACATTTCATTTTAACCTAGGTGCTCCAGTTACTGCAGTAACGTACCAGCCTTAATTGTTATGATATATATCTAAGTGTTTTTACATTGTTCCTGTCTTGGCAATTCAGTATTTTAAACAGGTTTTTTAACCTGCATGTCAGTATAACAATTGATATCTTAAAACTAAAAACTAAAACTAAATCTTATCTAAGTATAAAGGGAATTAATCGTTGCAATTGAGGATTGTAACGATTTTTGTCTGAAATTATTAATTATTTTGTTGGACATTTGTGCTAAAATCTCAACATTCGAAATTCTATGTACTTCGGTTGTACTGTACCAGGGAGGCAACTTCAAAATCATTTTCAGAATTTTGTTCTGAATCCTTTGAAGTGCTTTTTTCCTGGTAGTGCAGCAACTAGACCATATTGGCACAGCGTAAAGCATGGCCGGTCTAAAAACTTGTTTAAATATTAGAAGTTTATTCGTCAGGCAAAGTTTGGATTTCCTGTTTATAAGAGGATACAAACATTTTATATATTTGTTACATTTGGTTTGAATGCCCTCAATGTGATCTTTAAAAGTTAATTTTTGGTCAAGTATTAATCCAAGATATTTCACTTGGTTTGACCAGGAAATTGGAACTCCGTTCATAGTGACTATGTGACTACTACTAGGTTTCAAAAACGAAGCTCTAGGCTTATGTGGAAATATTATAAGTTGAGTTTTGGAAGCGTTGGGAGAAATCTTCCATTTTTGTAAATAAGAAGAGAAAATATCTAAACTTTTCTGCAGTCTGCTGCAAATAACACGAAGACTTCTTCCTTTAGCGGAAATGCCTGTGTCATCAGCGAACAAAGATTTGTGGCAACCCTGAGGCAAATCAGGGAGGTCCGAAGTGAAAATGTTATACAATATAGGCCCAAGAATGCTACCCTGAGGAACTCCTGCTCTAACAGGTAGTCGATTAGATTTGGAATTTTGATAATTTACTTGAAGAGTTCTGTCAGTTAAATAATTTTGAACTAATTTCATAATATAAAGTGGAAAATTAAACTTTTTCAATTTAGCAATCAAACCTTCATGCCAAACACTGTCGAATGCTTTTTCTATGTCTAGAAGAGCAACTCCAGTTGAGTGGCCTTCAGATTTGTTTGAACGAATTAAATTGTTAACTCTTAAGAGTTGATGAGTAGTTGAATGCCCATGGCGAAATCCAAACTGCTCATCTGCAAAAATTGAGTTCGTATTGATGTGAAGCATCATTCTATTCAAAATTATCTTTTCAAAAAGTTTACTTATTGAAGAAAGCAAACTTATTGGGCGGTAGCTAGAAGCTTCAGCTGGATTTTTATCCGGCTTCAAAATTGGAACAACTTTTGCATTTTTCCATTTATCAGGAAAGTATGCCAAATGGAAACATCTGTTAAATAATTTTACCAAGAAAGACAAGGTACTCTCTGGGAGTTTTTTGATGAGGATATAGAAAATTCCATCATCACCTGGAGCTTTCATATTTTGAAAATTTTTAGTTATAGACCTAACTTCGTCCAAATCAGTCCCCCAGGAATCATCAAAAATATTTTCCCGAGAGAAAATATTCAGAAAATCCCGAGCAACCTGATTCTCAATAGGACTAGTAAGACCCAAACTGAAATTATGGGAACTCTCGAATTGCTTAGCAAGTTTCTGAGCTTTTTCCAAATTTGTGATCAAAATTTTACCACCTTCTTTAAGCGCTGGAATTGGCTTTTGAGGTTTTTTCAAAATTTTTGTGAGTTTCCAAAAGGGTTTGGAACTCGGGTCTAATTTAGAAATATTATTTTCAAAAGTTTTGTTCCTCAGGGCAGAGAATCGCTTTTTAATTTGTTTTTGCAAATCCCGCCAGATAACTTTCATGGCAGGATCGCGTGTTCTTTGATATTGTCTCCTACGGACATTTTTAAGACGGATCAAGAGCTGAAGATCATCGTCTATTATAATTGAATCGAATTTAACCTCGCATTTTGGTACTGAGGCAGCTCTTGCTTCAACTATAGAAGTAGTCAGAGATTCAAGAGCATAATTAATTTCATCTTTGGTTTGCAAAGGAATGTTTGGATCGAAGTTATATTCCATAAATGTTCGATACTGCTCCCAATCAGCTCTATGGTAATTGAAAGTAGAGCTGTTGGGATTACAAATTATTTCTTGGGATATTTCAAAAGTTACTGGAAGGTGATCAGAACCGAAGTCAGCATGGGTAACCAGTTGGCTACAAAGTTGACATGAATCAGTTAAGACCAAATCAATAGTGGAGGGATTTCTTGCAGAAGAAAAGCATGTTGGGCTGTTTGGATATTGAATAGTGTAATAACCTGCAGAACAATCATCAAACAGAATATTACCATTGGAATTGCTTTGAGCATTATTCCATGAGCGGTGTTTTGCATTAAAATCACCAATAATGAAGAATTTAGACCTATGACGGGTAAGTTTCTGGAGGTCACCCTTGAGAAAATTCTTTTGCTGGCCTACGCATTGGAATGGCAAATAGGCAGCTATAAACGTAAGTTGTCCAAATTTTGTTTCAACAGAAACCCCCAAAGTTTCAAAAACTTTGGTTTCAAATGAAGAAAGAATTTTATGTTTGATTCGTCTATGAATAATGATGGCAACGCCACCACAGGGTCCATCAAGACGATCATTTCTATAAATCAAGTAATTTGCGTCCTTCTTAACCTTATGGTCAGGTTTAAGGAACGTTTCAGTTATAACGGCAATATGCACGTTATGAACTCTTAAAAAATTAAATAGCTCGTCTTCATTATCTTTAAGAGATCGAGCATTCCAATTTACAATATTTAATGCTTTAAAATCCATTACTGAATTTTAAAGTCATGACAATATTATTTGCAAATTTTACTCCAGTTTGAATAGCATCAAACATGGAGTTAGATTTAAGCATATCAGAAATCATGTCAATTAATGAATTCTGTAAAAATTCCATTTTGGGGGCAGTAATGCTTCCTAAGTCAAAATTGTCAAAATTTCCGTTAGAACGTTGGTTAGTATTTTGATTTCTACCCGCTGCAATAGCAGCATAGGTAGCTCCATTAACTCGCTGAACATTGTTAGCAGCGAGGGGAGTAGGTACAGATGAAACATTTGAAGCAGGGGAGATATTTGTACCTACGGGTACGAATGTAGAATTTGTTCCTCGCTGACCGTTGTTAACAGCAGAGGAATTTGTACCTGGTCGGAAACGTGGAGCGTTTCCTACCTGACGGTTAGAACGAGATTGTAGGATCGCTTTGCGAGTCTTACATTCCCAAAAATTGGATTTGTGGTTTTCACCACAATTTGAACATTTAAATTTCTTAGGATCTTCCTTCACAGGACAGTCGTCCTTTGCGTGAGAGGAATCACCACAATTCATGCATTTAGCTGGCATGTAGCAATTTTTAGTTCCGTGACCCCATC